GGCACTGGCAGCCCCAAGCCCCAAACGCCCAGGGCTCAGCAGTAGCCTGGCGGCCCCCCTCTGGAAGCTGCTCTCAGGCAGCTCCCACGCAGCAGAGCCCTCATCAAACAGCTGGCAGCCCGGACAGCGTCCAGGGGCACACCAGGCTGCAGCACATGGCTCGGTGCCTGGCTCCAGGCCTCTCAGACGGGCCAGCCCAGGGATCAGCCAGGTAGAAAAGATACACAAGCAGAACAACTCCCCCGCTCCCCAGCCAAGCGCCAGCCAGGCCCCATCAGGCTTAATTTAGGAGATCTAAGGAGAACATAACCCACAGCACCGGCTGGGACATGCTGTATGCACAGCAGCGCTGGGAGAGAGGCGAGGGACGCAGGTAGGAATTAAACCCAGACGCCCCGCTCCCCCCAAGCAGAAGTGTGGTCCTAGCCAGCACACAGGGCTTGGAGACATGCCCGGGCACACGCCCCTGCTGGGTCAGATGCTCCCCATGGCCGGGAAGAGGCTTGGGAGACTGCACTAAGGCAGGGCCAAGTAACCCCAGATCATGCCTGCCAAGGGGTTGCCCATGCTGGGCTTCGAGACCCCCAGTGACGGGGATTGCACTGCTTCCCTGGGCAGCCTGGCCCAGAGCTTAACCACCCAGACAAGAAGTTTTCCTAATATCTCGCCTAAATCTCCCTGTGGTGCATGAAGCTGGTTACTGCTCGTCCTCCCTTCAGTGGGCAGGAAGAACAAGATCACCCTCCTGTCTGTAGCAGTGCTTGGCATCTTCGAAGATTTATCAGGTCCCCCCGCAGCCTTCTCTTCTCGAGGCTCAGTACATGCTCAGTTCGGTAACCTTCCCTCCTTGCTCAGGGTTTCTAACCGTTCTCTGGTGGACTCTCTCCAGTCTGCCCACTGCCAGAGGCAATGGAGGCTGGCGAAGGGGGAGAGCAGCAGGGACCCACCACGCCTCAGTGCAGCCGGGCACCCGGTGGAGGGAGCGGTCAGGCTGCAGAGACTGGCCTCCCCGGTCAGTCAGCAGATAGCCAGAGACTCCTGGAGCAGCCTGAGCGGCCCCCGGCTAGGAGTCCCAGCACCCTCCCCACAGCCCGAGCACCTCAGGGCACTGCCCCTGCCCCCGTCTCCGACCTCTGCCGCACTAACCAACCCCACTCCCTGCTTCGCTTTGGCATGAATACGCCAGCCCAGTGCTTGCGAGGGCTCGGCCATCCCCGGCACCGTACTGCAGCGCCCGTCCCCACCGCCACTCCCAGGTGCTGCCCCTCCAGCAACAGCACAGAAAGGTGCTGAGAAGGAGCCCAGCTCCCTGGAGGGCCTGTGACTGCAGAGAGCCCCAGGACGCACTCCAGGCTGGGGCTTTCCATCAGCCTCCCCGGGTCTGTGTAGCCACAAGCATGGAGCTGGCTGCCACAGAGCACCCCTGTCTCCTGGGAGCATCTCAGCCTCCGCTGCGACCTGCACTCAGGCTGGCCCACCGCTGGGGGCAGCGAGGGGGCTGGAGACTGAAAGAGCACACAAATCTCCCACACACTTGCCGCTGGAAGCCGGCCTGCGCTGCACCCAGGAACGCTCACAAGTGCCAGAGAATCGGCCCCAAAACCCCCTAATTTGTGCCAACATTATACCAGGGCAAACTGGGTGAACCCAGGGCTCTATAAAGCTGGTTAGCCTGGCATCAATCCTGGGCAAACTCCTTGAAAAGCTGGAGCTGGGATCAATCAGCAGAGAATTGAAGGGGGGCAACTTAATTAATGCCAGTCAACAGGATCACGTGGGAAACAAGCCAGCTGTCATTTCCAACGAGATCACAAGGCCAGGTGATAAGCGAACATCCCGTCCACAGACCCAGCGCCACACGACTGGCGGAAGCCAACGCAACCCTCCATGCAGCCCACAGACCCAGATTCCTGACAGCGCTCAGAAAATAACTAGCTGGGGATGTTCCCAGTGGGACCCATGGGGCTCTGTACCCAGCTCAGCGCTATTCTACATCTTTATCAATAGTCCAGAAGAAAATCCGACGTCCTTGTCGGAAACACTTGGCAGACGACAGAACTTGGTGGGTGGTAATTGGCAACGGGATACTCGGCGTTCGGGATCGCTTGGTAAAGCGGCTCCATTGACATGGATGTTAATGCAGCCCAACACCAGATCAGACGTGTGAGGAGCAAAACCCCAGGACGGAGGCTTTTATTCTAGAACGCAGCACCTCTGAACGGGACTTACGGGTGGGTCACGGCTGGTAATCGGCTGAACGCCAGCTCCCACTGCCAGGACGCTGTAGGAAAGATGGTGACAGATCCTTGGCTGCAAAGCAGAGGAACATCAAGCAGAAGTAGGAAGCATGGGGGTCATCACCATGTACAGCACTGGGGAGATTGTTACCGGACGCTGGGTCCACCCGTCAAATGAAAAGAAAGATGTGGACAAATTGGAGGGGGTTCTGCAGCACGGCGCATGGAGGAGAATGATCTGAAAACACCTCTCACAGCCAGAGACTGAAGCTAGGTAGTTTATCTACAAGTGTGTAGATGAGGAAGAGATGCCTGTGTTTGCGGGATTGGACCACCCTGCCAGCAGAAAAGATCCCACAGCTGGAAGCGGACACTAGACACATTCAGATCGGAAAAAAAAGACGTCAACTTCTAACAGCGAAGATCATTAACCCTGGGCACGTGGATTCTCCGACACTTGGAGACTTTACATCGCGACTGGATCTCTTCGGCAGAGACCGGCTCGAGTGCCAACAGACGTTCTGGGCCGCACGCCAGAGTCGCTGGGGGAGGCTGCCTGGCCTGTGCTTTACAGGTGGTCAGGAGGGATGAGCACAATTGGCCCTTCTGGCCTTGGGCTCTCGGAATTGCGCGAGCTCTGCAGTGTGAGCGCTCGCAACAGACACGCTTCTGCTTTTCCAGGGCTGGGCAGCTGCAGCTTGCCAGTTCCCCTCTGGCGCCAGCAGTTCAGCTGCCGAGGGACCGTAAGGCCATGGAGACTCAGCCCTGAGGTGGCGGTGCAGGGCGTCAGGACTCTGGTCCCAGTTCAGCTTCCTGGGGAGTCGGGCTGGGCACGCTGTGCGGCTCCGTCACCCTGCCAGCGGGGAAGGATCCCAGGCTGCAGAACACGAGGCGTGAGACGAAGCAAGCGCTGGGGCGCGCGGGGGCTGCCCCGTGCCGCAGATGGTGGGTCGGCACGCCAACAGGCTGCGTACTGCCCCACCCCCGAGCCGGGGTGCTGCAGCAGCCCCCCCTTACTGCCAGTGCTAGCAGATCCCAGCGGATGCTTGATTTCCTTCCCACCTCAGCCTGCCAGCCAAGCAAGGGCCCAGGCCACCCACGCCAGGGGCTCAGCTGCAGGGTCCCCGCTTCTGCTGCCCCATTCCTCCGCCTTTCCAGGCTGTAGTGTGTCCAGAGAGCCCTGGAACCCCCCATGGGTGGCTGGTAGAGCCAGGAAGCCACCGACTCCAGGGGAGCAGACGGGACAGCCGGAAACGGGGTGGCCGCAGCTCAGGACGGTGCCAATAGCCCCTCCCACCCCAGCAGAGGATGCCCAAGGCTCCGGGGCCAGCGAGCCCTGTGTGCTGCCCCCAACCCCCAGTGCCACAGAGGGGGGGCCAGGAGTCTCCCAATGCAGCGCAGAGCTTCCCCACCGAACCCACCGCCCCACTGGGGCTCAGCCAGCGCAGAGCAGGGGGTAGCTACGCCCCCGCCCCCCAGGTCCTTTCAGCATAAGAGCCTGGGCATCTGCAGCACCCCACTGGGCCCTCACAGCCTGCCTGCTCCTTCCCACCATGGAGCTGGAGGCCACCGAGCCCAGGGCGCAGCCATTTCGGTGCGACTAACGCCCCGCTGCTGGTCCCACTGGGGTCTGATCCGCTGGCAGAGATACCACAGACCCGAGACCCCCACCAGTACCGGGGGAGTGGGGACACTGGTGCCAAAGAGAGGGTGGCAATCTCCCTGCAACAGGGTCTGGCAGCCACCGCCACAGCCTGCCCAGCCCCCTCCCCCCTCGCACCACGTGGTCCCTTGCTTGGGGCCTATGTCCCCAGATGTCTCATCTCCCCGTGCTGCAACCCCCCACGACAGCGCCTTTCCCAGCAGGGAGACGGGGACGGCACAGGGGAGCTCGTGAAGCCAGGAGGGAGACAGCCAGCAAGCAGGCCCCTCGGAGCCCCCAGGGGCAAAGCAACGGCCCCACGTTCTCGGCACGCCACCAGCAGCAGGGCTAGCGAGAGCCCGAGCCAGCAGAGCAGGAACAGCCCGGGCAGCCAAATGTTTCCATTCCCCATGTCCTCCCTGCCCCCTTCCAAACCGGCACCAAAGCAAGAGACAGCTGCAGCTTATAAGGAATGTGAGGGGCCCTGCCAGGGACTCTGGCGAGGGAAACCAGGCCTTATATGGCCATGGAGGCAGAATCAAATTTTTATCAATGTGAGAGCATGGAGACGCCGAAGGAGAGATAACAGGGCGAGGGGCTGAGGGGGAGCGGGGGGCCTGCAGGGGCAGTGACACCTGTCACCCACCCCCCGCCCTCTCCGAGCTGCCCCCACCCCCACTGAGGGGAGAGCGGCTCTGTAGCTCCTAGCCAGTGAGCCCCAGGTGGGCAGGGGACCGCAACACTGAGCTTAACACAGCCCAGGCCAGGAAACTATCCTCTGGAGCCTGGTGCTCCTGCTCCCAGGTAAACTGAGGCACAGCCCCACCACAGGGAGGGGGACCCAGCTCACAGGAGCAGGGCCAGCAGCAGCCCAGGCCAGGGAGTGAAGGAGGGGGTCCAGCACCCAGGCCAGCAGACTAGGGCCCAGGATACTACGCCAGGGAACTGCAGGGGTGAGCCCCCCCGCAAGATCTAGCGGGCAGCCCCATGTTGGCCCTGCAAGCTCTCCAGTCTGGGTGGCAGGGGAGGAGCCTTCGAGCTGACCCCTGCGGTAGGGTGGTCCCCGCGCCGGGCAGAGAACAGGCAGGCCCTGCCCGCGAGCGCAGAGGAGAGGGGGTTACCTTTGTCTCGCCGCTGCTGTCCGACTCCGACACCTGGTAGGTGAGGTCGGTCTCCTCAAAGCCCGTGGCACTCATGCGCTGGTCGGTGGTGGGGTCGGACCTGGGGGCGAGTCCCGGGGAGTTCAGGCACGTCTGGATCAGCGCCTTCCCAGTCTCGCTGGTGATCATGGGCTGCAGCTTCCGCGTGGCAAACGTGTACACGTGGCCCGTCTCGCTGGCAACCAGCAGCAGTACCTGAGTGCCCGTCAGCGTGGAGAGCTCATAGGCCTGCAAGGCAGCAGAGAGCACCGGTCAGTCATGGACACCCGACGTGAGGCACAGCCACAGGCCGGGGCTAGCGTTGCCCCCACTGGGGACGCCAGCGTTACTTGCCTCTGCCTTCCCCCTGCATCCCACGCCTTGGCCTTCTCTGCCCCTTCGAGGCACCCTCACCCTCTCCCAGAGCTTCCCCCGAGCCCAGGCAGGCAGCCCGGCTAATGGGCAGGGCACAGGACTGGGACACTGGAGACCCAGCCCTGCCATGGTGCTGCAGGGTGAGCTTGGGCACGTCACTTCCTCTCCATCCCCATGCCCCCTTCCAGCTCCTTGGAGCTATGTCCCTGCATGGCACCTGGCACAACGGGGTCCCCACCAGGGTCCAGGTCTGTAGGTGCCACTGAAACCCCCAAAGTCCCCCCGAGCCCTCCGCCATGTCCCCTTTGTCCTCACTGCCATGACCAGTCCTTGGCCAACTCCAGCCTGCCCCACTGCTTCCTCCCACGCCTGCGAGCCATACACCGCTGAACTCAGCTGGACAGCCCCACCTCGCCCCCCTCCAGGCCACATGGATGTCGGTGCTGCCCCCCAAATCATCGCTCAGGCCGGCTGTTCCACCCTACTGGCTTCCTCTGTATCAGGACCCTTCCCAGCACCGCCCCACCACATTTATCTCTCTTGTCACAGCGTCCCCAACCAGCCTCGACTGCTTGTCTGCTCCTGCCAAAGCCTTCGCAGTGTCCTGCACGCCCCCCGCCACCAAGCCTGAGGCTTGGCCATGGGCAGAGCTCGTCCAAACCTCGCCCCCATTTCTCCCCCACTGCCAGATTGCTACCAGGATCTTGGGCAGTGCCCATCTCTCCCTGGGTTTGAGCAGCACCAGCCCTATGAGGCCTCTGGGCTCCCCCCCACAGCCCTAACCAGCAACAAGCCAATGCCCCCTGCCCATGGCTGTGCACAGTCCCAGCAACAGAGAGCTAGGCTCCACCAGAGCTGCCTGGCTTCAAACCCTCCACCCACACGGCGCGAACCAGCCAGACCCCCCCAGGCCGCAAGTGCCCCCAGCCAATCCTCCTGCTGCAGCCAGCCGCTGGGGGATCCGCCCTGCCCAGCAAAGCCAGAGCTCCGGCAGCCTCAGAGAGGGAGCAAGACAGTCAGCCCCGCTCAGGCAGGAAGCGGGCTGCCCCGCTGTGAGGACCAGCACCAACATTCCCGGGAGAGACAGCCCCTTGTCCCCCAGGGCAGGACCTGCACCCAGTGCGGGTCCTGTCTGATTTTTCAGCACACCGGGGCACAGGCTCCCTGCACTTCCCCGGGAAACTCCCAAAGCCCAACAGCACGGGGCCGGGGCTGCCAGGGATGTCTGCCATCAATCTTCTTGCCCTTCACTTCTCCAGGCATGGAGGCGAGCAGGGTTCTGGCCTACAGTGACCTGCGGGGGTCTGGCCTGCATCTCTCCTGGCCGAGGCTGGGATCTTCTCTGGTAACACGGGGCCCAAGAGCAAGCAGGTATGCAGTCCTGCCACCCTGTGGCAGAGAGAACTTCCCGCCATGCCCTGCACCTCAAATCCTGCTGCCATGGAAGTCAGCCAGCGGGGCAAGGGCCGGGCCGAGGGGCCAGCGGGACAGAGCAGTTCTCAGCTAGTGTCCCACGAGCAAGTGCATCGGCGTACACACAAATGAGCTCCCAACACTAAACCCGGCCAGTAAGTGCTTATAGGCAGAAACTGTCGCACCAAACCCAGCACAACCCAGACACGGCTGCTGGGGCCCATCCCTCCTCCAGGTCAGCAGGCCAGAGCAGAAACAGCACAGAGCCCCATGTCGTTTGCTGGCCACCGCCCCCTCGCTGCCCAGCTGCTCCGGGTACAGCACTTGTCACCTGGCCAATAGCACCTCCCTGCCGCAGAGGATCCAGGGAACACCATCCGAACACACTAGCTGCATGTCCCCATTCCCAGCCACGCGGACAGGGGCCTGTGTTACTCCCCTGACCTAGCTGGGGTTTGCAGCTCTCCGGTCAATCTTATCGGCACCAGCACCCTGCCAGGGCACGGAAGCGTCAGGCCAGGCCCAGCACTGACCCCTGCTCCCCCAGGCGGCCTCCGAAGTGGCCGAAGAGAGTGGGCGAGACAGACCAGGGACAGTTCAACTCACCGCCCCAGCATGCGGAGCAAGGACCAGACAGGTGCCCACCTGGTCTAGTGGGCACACTGACCCCCCGGGTGAAACTGGCCGATTGCTGCTCCTGGTGCTTTGGCAACACTCGGGCAGGCAGAGCTTTCCCCAGAGGGACTGCAGTGGCTGGCACTATGCTCTGCCTTTGCGCTAGCCTGGACCCAGCCGGTGGGAGCCACTGGCCTTCCCCACCGTGCTCAGAGCACTCAGGCAAGAGCGGGGAAGGGGACAGAAAGCCCCCAGTGCAGTCCCGGCCAGAGGAACAGGGCCTGTCCCACCCCCAGCACCCACAGCCTGCAGAGGGGAGCTGCCCGCCCCGCCAGAGCGCCCCGGGGGCAGCAGCGCTGTCTCAGGCCCACGGCCAGGCACACGAGCACCCAAGGATCCAGGGGGCAGCCCAGCCCATAAGCCAGAGGCAGCCGCTGCCCAGCCTTCGGAGCAGGTCAAACCAGGGCAATCCCTGGTGCAGCCTCACAGGGAGCAGCGACAAATCCGTGCCAGGCAGATCAGTTACACCGGCACGACTGCCACGCCAGGCTAGCGGGGAAGAAACACCGTACTGCAGGAGGTAGCCCCCCCGCCCCGGACGCTGCCGCGTACAGAGCAACATACGGCACAGCCCCAGCCGTGCAGAGCAGCCCCAGCCGGAGGAGACCATGCCGGGGTCCCGGCAAGGCACCTATGGGGGCAAAGCACCGTTCAGCAGCACTTCAAGGAGGTCACATCAGCAGCTGGCTCTGCTTCCACTGAGCCTGCCGACTCCGCCTTCCCCCGCCCCTCTGATGGCATCACCTGCCCGTGTGCCCTGCATGTCACCATGCAGGGAAGAGCACCTGCTGGCACTGGCCACAGCCAGGGAAGAGAAGGGGGTGCTGTCAGAGGTACTCAGCGGTCAGGCGCACTACCCCAGACCATCCCCAGCATCATCATCGCATGCCTCAGGGTTGCAGAATCAAAGCAGCTGGCTTCCAAAGGTACAGCCCCCGGCCACTCTCCTCACTCAGCAAGGTACCGCCCTGTTCTCAGGGGCAACCTGCCACAGCTCCAGATTCTTCCCAGTTTGTTACAGGCCCGGCAGAGGTTTCCCAGACACCCCCCAACACCCACGGCACAGCACAGCAGCCCCTCACAGGCAGCTCTCTGCCCCCATCCGCTGCCAGGACCCTCTTCCAGCAGCTTCCCCCTCTACCCAGGGGGGAATCACACTGTACTGGCCCAGAGGCGCCCTGCACAGACAGCGTTTCTCAGGACACATCGGCACACAGCAGGGAATCGTCACATCCAGAGACTGGCATAAGCCCTGAGGCAGAAGGTTTAAAGTTCTGGAAGGGATCTATCATGACAACCCTGGGTATTCGCGATAGCCATAGAGATGCCCAGTCCCCTTTTGAACCTGGGTAAGCCAAGGGTCTCCCTTCTCCGCCCCACTCATTGTTTATCGACTTTTGTCACACCCTCTCTAATTCATCATCTTCCTGCAGTAAGGAATCACTCTTCAGAGAGGAGCCCTCCTGGCCCTTGACCGTTCTCTAAACTGCTCTGTTCTGTAACCTCCCGGGTGAGACGAAGGCAGAACGATACATGGGCCCCATGTGGGGTTGCACCACTGACCTGTACAATGGCATCATCTTCCATCCCATTCCTCAGCTATCTGGTCCGATTTTTAGATTGTTTTGAGAGCTCCCCACAATCATGCCCAGGTCCCGTTCCTCACTTGATAGGAGAGCCCAGTAACCTGTACGAACAGGTCAAGTTTCCCCCTCTAACGTCCAGTACTTTGCATTTCCTGACGCTGGAGTCTGTTTGCCCGTTCTCCCAGCCTGCCTCAGGCTCTCCGAAGCTCCTCTGGTCCCGACTAGCCTAAATAACTGGGTCTCCTCTGCAAACCTGCGACATCCCTGCTTACCCCCCTTTCCCAGCTCAAATCAATAATGGTTCAAACCCCAACTGGCTCAGCTCAGCCCTTGAGATAGAGGAGATGATGCCAAAGAGCCCTTGATCCAAGCTGATGTTTCCCAGTATAGTCTGGGAATTGGGATTCACACTGGAGTCCTGACGAGCACAGCCCCTCGGCGCACTGTCTGCCCGACTGGCTGAGACGGCCATACTCAGGTGATACCTTACACCCATTCAGTAACACCAGCTCACCAACGACCTTCCCGGGGCTGGCCACAGACTTGCATTAGGCAGAGCCCTTGAGTCGCTAGCCAACCAGGGTTGGCGTAGAGCTTCTCATCCCAGCTCCTAAGGCTTCTCTAACTCTTGGCTGGCCACACCTTCATGTGCACAAGTGGAGATGCTAGACAGCTGATAGGAGGGGGACCCACTCTGTGCTTCACCCCTCAGTTTGGATGAACAGCTCCTAAATCCCTTGGGTCACACCATTATGTTCAGAGCAACAGCCCATCTTCCCAAGTCTGCCCTGTACCTCTCCAAGAGAGGCCAGGCCACTGCCTTAGTACCAATACTGCATTTTTGGGTTGTTCCCCCGTCTCGCTACAGTCAAGATCTCGAGGCTAGGAAGCAAGTCTGCCGAGTAGGACAGATCACATGTGAGAGCATCAAGTGAAGGCAAGACAATAACAGACCTGCTCCTGCAGCTCTGGTAGAAACGCATCTGGAACAACATGTTCTGTTCTGGACTTCAGTACCAAAAATACGTCAAGAGTTTGGAAACCGGCAAGCGGATTTATGGGCAAGAGGGACTGACGTCCGAGGAAGGGAGCTAGAGATGTGCCCAGTGTGGCTAGGCGAACACTTTGGGGGGGCAGCAAAGCATAACTCAGTGTGTTGGGGGGTGCGAACTCAGAGGGAGGGGATCTATTAGGACAGTACAAGACTCCATCCGGTCACTCCTAGGGACATGCTAAGAGACCAGTTGGGCCAAATATCGAGATGAGCTCTGCAACGGTCAGGACTCTAGAATGCTCTCCCCAGCTGGGTCAGTCAGCATTTACATTGGGTAGAGCACTAGGGTGTGTATGGCAAGCATACCCCCTCTCACGGGGTACAGACCCTCCCTTTCTCAGAAGGTTTCAGTTAGCGCTGAACCCCATGCGTACAGCCGGTCTAGAATAGGAAAATTGGTGGGGATTTACATCCTGTTCGCAAATCCTTCTTAAACAATGTTTTGAATACTACTTAGCCCCTTGTGTGTAAACAGGATTTAGACACCTTTAAAAACATCTTCCTTCCTCATGATCTGGGGAGAGCCCTGAAACGTCACCAACAGTTAACACACGTTTCCCTAGGCGCTGCACGTTGGCAGTTTAGTACCCGGCCAATACTTGGCCCAGCTGTGATATGACTGGTCTCCTTGAGGCAAGAGACTATCATCATCAATCATGTTGACTACAGTAGGGCCTAAGGGCCACCCAAGTTGGCTCATCAGTATATCTGGTCACCCAAGTATCTCTCTCAGTATCTTCAGTGTTCCCATCTCAGCACACTAAAGCCACCCCCTCCTATTAACCCTACACTGGGCTTAGCCTCCATCCCACAAGGGTGACTCTGCACCCCCTTCCACCCCAACAACCAGCATGCCAGCCTCAGTCTAGCTCCCACGCAGGTTTAAAGCCATGCCAGGACCTTATCTGGCCCAACAGACCCCTCAGCAAAGTCTTGGAGGGGAAGTCATTTTCTGGCCCCTGCTTCAGAAGGGGGAGCGGTGAGAAGTCCCAGCTGTCACTGAAGACAGCCACCCCAGTGCCCCTTTCCCACTCCTCCCCGAGGGGCTCCCTAGCCCGGAACCCGATCTGACCCTGGGGGCTGGCTCCCTGGGGTGGGTGGGGGATATTCCCAGGGGATCCCCCTCAGCACCTTTACAAGCCGCAGCTCCAGGCCTGGGGGCTCGCACCGGGGTCCCTCTGGGCCCCCATCTTCCTCCAGACACGCCTTCGCACACCAGGTAAGGGGGCGCACGCCCCCCCCCGTGTCCCGAGCCGCCCCCACCCTCCGCTGTGACCCCACGAGGGGACCCCCCCCAACCCCCAGCCTCTCCCGCCCCCCGGCGGCTGCAGGGGCCCCTCTTCCGCAAAGGCCCGGGCCTCCTAGCCCGGCCCCACCTTCCGCCTGGGAGCTGCGGGCGCGCCCCGGCCCCCGGATCCCGGCCCCCCGGAGCCCCCCGGCCCGGTACCTTCTTCATGATGCCGGTCTTCCGCTTGCTGAACGTGGTGTAGCGCCGCAGCTTGTTGTCGATAAATTCCATCTTGATCTTGACCCGGCCCCGGGTCTTCTTGCCGGGCTTGGCCCCGCTCACGGCCCCGCTCACCCCGCCGTAGCCCGCGGCCGCCGCCGCCGCCTCGGGCCCCACCACCACCCCCAGCTCCACGTCCCCCAGGCTCCGCTTCAGGCCGCGCCGCTCGCCGCTGCCCAGCTCGTCCTCTTCCGCCGACTCCGAGTCGCCCTCGCTGCCGCTGTAGAGCGGCCCGGCCCCCGCCGCCGCCGCCGCCGCGTCCCGGTCCCGCTCCCGCTCGAAGCGGGCCCCCGCCAGCCCCGCGCCGTTGCCGGGGCCGCGGCCCCCCGCCCCGCCGCCGTTCGCGCCGCGCGGCGCCCCGGCCCCCGGCCGGCCCGAGGCGGCCCGGGCCAGGGCCATGCCGGAGCCGCGGGCCAGGGCGGCCGCGCCGTTGCCGGCCCCGGCCTGGCTGGGTAACATGGTGCCGCGGAGAGCGAGCCGCGCAGGGACAGCGAGGGCGGGTCAGGCCGGCGCTGCCATGGGCCCCGCGCCGGCTGCTCCGGCCCGGCCCCCGCCTCCGCCTCCCGGCCTGGCCCCGCTCGCTCGCTCGCTCCCGCTACAGAGGGATCCGCTCCGGCCCGCCGCCCGCGCGCCGCTGGCCCCCCATATAAAGCGATACAATGTTGCCTTTTATGGCGAAGCCGCTCCTTATATGGCGCGCGCCGGCGCCTCCCGCCCATTGGCCGCCCTCTGGCGGGCCTCGCTCGGCATTGGGCGAGGGCGGGGGGGGGACCGCGCGGCGCTGCCCATTGGCCCAGGGGGGCGGGGCTTGATTTGCATACATTCCTGGGGAGCTGTGCTCACGCTCGACGTCAGCCGGAGGGGCCGAGGACAGAGGGAGGCTCTTAAAGGGCCAGAGCCCCATGCACGCATGCGGGGCGGCAGCGCGGGCCTGGCCCGGGACAGAGCCGGGCCAAGCCGGAAACAGAACGAGGAGAGGCTGGGGTCGCGCAGGAGGGGGCGGGGGGAGCTCAGGCCAGGCGCAGTGGGGCTGGAGGCCTCTGCCCTGGGTTATTCCTAGTCCCTGGCCCGGGATCCGGACAGCAGGGGATTTGGCCCCGTTTATTGCCCAGCCTCACCAGTGGTTGGTGAAGGCTTCTGGCCTTGGGAGCCACCCCGCTCACACTTCCACCCAGGGATTTCCCTACACCCCCACTATGGGGGTGTTTAACCCCCCCCCAAATTTCCCTAACACCCCCCACCAGTTTTGTGAACTAGTTACATGCAGTGTTGCCAATTTAGTGATTGTTTGTACATTTGAATTGAAATTGAAACATTAATACAGACTTTAAAAGCATATAGGGGCTATGATAACATACGTGTATCTGAAAAAGTATCATAGATTTTAAACATAGAGTAGCTTCCTTGTACCGCTGTTTATGACCATGTCAGTGCATTCATTTCAGTGATGTTGGCCACCCTAATAATTTCAAATTATAATTTGTAAGCAAAGTCTAAAGGAGCTCTCCCGAACTGCTAGTGAGGGACCGGAAAGGCTTCAGGGCCAGGCTGTATTTACATTCACACCTAATCTACCTAGGTATCCAGCAGACAGAGCTGTGTTGCCCAAGTGATAGATTTTGGCTGGGGTTGGGTTACAAATTACTTGAATGCGGGGGGAGGGGGCATAATGAAATGTTGTTGGTCTTATTGTTGGAGTAAAGGCAGTAGAACTGTACTTAGCCTCTGCTGATTGAGGGTATCAAGAGAGAGGGTGAGGATAGGGTGTTTTGCTTGATAGTCTGCCTGAGTCTCCCCTGTTTAAAGACAGAGCTGATTAGGCTTCATAGATAGTCTTTGTTTTAAGTGACCACTACAGCTGAAATCACTGATAATCAAGTCTAAGCGCTTAGACCTGCTGTGGGACAGGGTTTCTGTGGCAGAGACGGCCCAGTCTGCACTAGCAGCGTGGTTCCCCCACGGAGAGCTCAGCTGAAATCACTGAGAGCTGGGTAGAGCCTCAAGAGACCAGCTCACAGAGGTCACAGTGGCAGCAGAAGGTGACAGTGCAGGGCCATTGGCAACAGAGCAGTGGAGTGAACGGTGGCACAACGAACAGCAGTGGCCAGAGCGAACAGCGAGCAGCTGGAGGAACGAGCGAGGCGCCTTCTTGCCCCCACCTGGGAGGTGACCTCACGTGAAAGCACCTCTGAACTCTGAGTCTCCACTGACCAAGGACAACACCGGTGAGTGTTAACGAGACTGTTAAGAATGCTGGAGCCACAACACAGTTCATGCGAACACACACGGCCGTGGCCTCCTACTTTCTGTTTCAGCAAGAGATACCACACACTACAAACTGGGGGCCGGTGTTAAGGGCATTGTCACTTGTTCATCCTGAAGTTGAACACTGGTTCCGAACAAGACCAGCAAATGCTCACTGTCTTTCTGCACGAAACTCAGCTGACTGGCTAGATGCATGCGGTGCAACAGTGAAAGACTCAACCGTTGAAAAAGTGAAGAACTCTCTCACCACATTCAAAAAAATTGCATACATGGCTGACGAATGCACCAATGCAAATGGTCATCAAGTACTAAATCATTGTGTACGTTATCTTGATGTCAGGGGTAGGCCAGTAGATGCATTTCTAGATGTTCAAGTTATAGAAGACAGATTGGCTGCATCTGTGACAACCCACATCTTAGAAGAGTTAAATGCTTGTCAGTTGGATCCCAAACAGATGGCTGCTTGTGCATTTGATGGAGCTGCAGACTTCTCTGGAAGACATGGTGGAGCACAAGCTTTGCTCAGAGAAAAGTGTAACCCTGTTCTCTCCTATACACACTGCAGAGGCCATCTACGCCAACTTGCGCTAGTACGAGCTGCAGACTCTTCAAAAGACATTTAAAAAGCTATAAATGTAATGTCTTCATTATGTTCTTTTTTCAAAAAGAGTCCAAAAAGACTGAATATCTTCGAACACGTCGAAGATACACTGGGCCTGAAGTTCAAATTAGTCCTACCTGGAACAACCCTCTGGCTTTCTCATGAGCCATCCTTGGCTGTTGTCTTAAAATTACTCCAGCCATTATTACTGGCTTTGGAAAGTATCTACCAAGATGGAATGGATCTAAGTAGTGACGCTGGTGGATTACTTTTGCTATTACATTGAGAGAAGACTATTGCCATTCTCTCTCTTGTAAGTCTACTGTTGAAACCACTTGGGTCATTAAACAATGCCATCCAGGCATCTCCTACAACAGTAGTAGATCTTTGTCCAGCAAAGCTTGTCCAGAAGCTACATTTGGATCACTCAGAGAGCTATCCATTGAAAAAGTACTGGAAGAAGCAAAGACTTCAGCCCAGAAGTTGAGTAATGAAGGCATTTATATTGACTCCTTAAGTGAAGAGGACAAGAAGTGTTTGTTAAGACAACTGAAAAAGTACACCGACTTGATTCTTAAAAATCTACAACAGCAACTTCTAGATTCTACTCAACCGCTACGTAGCTTTTACAGACCCCTGTCCTATAAAACACTGACAGTTGAGTGGAGTGAGGCACGAGCAGCCATGGGGCTGCCGTGTGCTCGGGCCAGAATTAAGAATTTGAACTCAGAGTGGAATATCATACGACGAATGAATGAAGATTTGACTTCAACTTCTTTTTTTTATCATCGCTAGTGGCTCGACCCGATCTTTGTGCTCTGTTTCCTGGGCTGACAGAAGTAGGAATTCATCTCTCGCTGCTCCCAGTCACAACAGCTACAATTGAGCATCCTTTTTCATCATTGAATAGAATTTTGTGTTTTGAAAGGAGCCGTTTTATGCCCATTAGTTCATTCACGTGATCAGGCAGATCAGTTGAAGGACTGGAAGTACCGGACACACGAGAAGCCACCAAAGATGAACGCATTGCATTCAAGAAGTTTATTAACAACTTGTGCAAAATTATAACGACACCAAGAAGGATGAAGATGTCGTGCTTCATAGAAGGCTTGAGTAGCCAACTTTAATTGGTGTGATGATTTTAAAATCCAATAAAATGGTCATGAAACATTTTTCAGTTTTTACTATGGTGCCATACAGCCCATCTTCACCCTCACGGTCTCACCCCTCATCGGCCCTGACCGCCCCCCTGTAAATTTGAACACCCTCCCCCAATTTCCATTCCTGGGGAAAACACTGCCTCCACCCCAGTGGATGCCTAGGGGGTTGGGCCGGCACTTTCCAGTACTAAAGACCTGCCATGAGCCCATCAGCGGAGCTGAAAGCAGCCACTGCCCTCCTCTTCCTATTGTCCAGCAACCTCTCACATCCCTGTTTCACCAAGTCATGCCAAGGTTTAACGTTTGATTAGCCTGTGGAACTCAGTACCACAAGATATCACTAAGGCCAGGAGCATACACAGGTTCAGCAAACAACTGGACACAAATATGCACAGGAACATCCACAGTCACCATAGACAACATGAAAATAAGGGCCATAAATGCTCATTTCAGGGCAGAAGGCAGCCACAGACTGATGGGGGCTGGGAGAAATTCCCCGGGTGGGCAGCTTATTCTGAAGCTGTCCACTCTCAGGGTTCTCCCACCTTCCTGTGAAGCAGCTGATCCTGACCACTGGTGGAGACAGGCTATCAGAGTAGCTGGGCCCTGGCTCTGACCCAGCCTGGCAGTTCCTATGCCAAGGCTTATACAGCTAGATACAAAGGTATGGCTTCATATCATGCCTAAAAATGGTGGGGAGCTAGAACCCACGCGTCCCATGTGTTTCACACAAGGTCCTTTTATTTCTTTGAGCCTTAAGTAGTTACCCTACAACCAGCTAAAGACAGCAAAAAAGGGGGCCCCATTCCCTTTCCCCCAGCATCCTCAAGGATAGCAGCTATCTTTGGGGTGGGGAAGTAGGGGCCCCAACTCTCTGTCCCATTCCTCCCCCACTCAGCAGAACCAGTCACCCGCATATTGCATCCTTTTTCTAGCACAGGAAGGGGAAGGATAGGAGGGGCTGGCTTCCCAGCGTCAGTCAGGGGAGGGGGGCAGGGAGAGGAGGGGTATTCCAAGGGAGAGGTGCTATAGGATGGGAAGCTCTACAACAGAACCTAAGCTAGGGGCCCCAGCAGGAGGGGACAGCCAGCATACGTATCATTCATGCTAGGAGCAGGAGTGGGATAACTCTCAGCCACTCTAAGGACAAGGGCTGGGACTGCAGAGGGTACAGAGACCAGAGGAAGGGAACAAGCCAGCCCTCCCCTGGGGGTGGGCCACAGGGAACAGGTCAGATACAAGAGAGACTGCAACAGAGATGCTGCTTCCCAAGAGAGGCCAGGAGAGTTCAATGGGGGCGGGGGGCACAGAGAGAGGATGGACTGTCCGACTCCCTAGTTTGAGCTTGTAACAGGCTCTTACCTCCTCCAGCATCTGACCCTGCTGCTGCCACCCCAATAACATCAGAGGGAATCACAGCACCCACCGCCCTTGTTTTCGGAGGGAGGCTGGCTGAGCTCCATCACACTCACCAGGACACACACACACTTCCCCCAGACTTCTTTGCTGGCTCCCATTCCCCAGGCCCTCTGCCCGAGAGCCAAGGCTGGCCTCTGGGCCAGCAGTAACGCATCCAGCCCTCCTGGCCTGAGCTCAGGCTGCCCCTTACATCGCCCAG